CACGGATTCATTATAGACTGTAAGTCGGAGTTCGAGCGCTCGACAATTCTTCTCACCTATAACGCTCGACAGAATTCGGTCGGCATGATCACAAAGTGTCCGATATGCATTTTTCCATTTTAAATGTTGTTACACACTTCATAAAACATAAAATATCGAAGAATATTTCACTTATGTAGAAATATACCGATCAGCACTCAGTTATGAACTATCATTACAGAATAGCGCTTCACAAGCATATATTATAGGTTTAGAAGTAAATAGGCCTACAGTTTTCATTTTATATTCTAACACTTCATCTCGACAACGATACAGATGCAAGGAAATAATTTCAGACAGATGAATCAATTGTTCCTGGTCAGGCTAAAATTCATATATCTTTGTCCTGGCTAAGAAAATGTGCGTTTCGGAATTATTTCTATAAAGAAGATGCATATTCAGACGTAATTTATGAATGTAATTACTCAGCTCAACCAAATAATTAAATTATAATAGGAAAGAAACGATGCATTGGTTGATAATTAGATGTATTTTTTGTAGTCAGTATTTTAGGAGACGAACCTTACAATTTGACGGAAGTAACATTTCATGGAAACATTACTGGATCACTGTGGACTGAGCTCATTTATTCTGACCTCACGTCCCGAAGCTCCCGTATCATTGACGGAATTTCATTTGGAAACACACTGTGTAAGGGCTAAAAACCATCGACCTTTCCGTAATTTTCTCGTATGAGCTGAATAGCCAGTCTTGTAACATCACCTAAAGCCGAAGTTTTAAATTAAAACATTAGGATTCAAATTTTATTCAAACATGTAACAACAGATCACTGTCCCGTGAAACCAGAAAGTAATATGAATCCGGTTCACAGCCTCGTGTCCTTCATTACAAATAACATTTCTGTGTGCAAGGCAATCGAGTTTACTGCGAGAAAAACATCGGCTGATACGTCTATAAAACTGCCATGTAAACTTTACGGCTGAACACCAACAACATAAAAAGATTGGAAATAATATTGAAATCATCCGTGTTGTATGCACATCATAAAAACATCCGGATATCCTTAACAGGAAACCATAAAATGTCCTGTTCAACAAAGAGGCACCAGTGGTACGCTTAACTCAAGATGCAAATCTGGCTCAACACAATTCATAACAGACATCCCAAACAACAGCATAATTTAAACTCCCATTCCCCATAGTAACTACTATTCAATAATAATAATAATAATCGTCTGTATGATTGGTGGACTGTTTATCGACGCTGCTTAGTTTCACTTGTTTACAGATGTACTGAGTGAACAATATCAGAATGAAATCAGACAGAACGGCAAGAATCATTCTACAGCAAATCCAAAACGGATACCGGATATAAATGCACGCGATAAGAAACAAACCAAATGTGAAATCTATGGATAATTAAAAATGATACAGATCGGGTACAGCTTCATGATTAATGTACCGTCCCTCCAACAAAAATGATCTGACATCGACATTTGATCAAGTGAGGGATAAGTGGTGATGCACGTCTCCTGGCAAGTTTCCCTGAACAGCCATACGGGAGAAGTTCCCTCTCTTTGTGTGTAACATTTGATATGGAACCTTATGATGGACACAAACGTAATGAAGGCGGTACGTGTGAGTTCGTTATTACGTGATACTGGTTGCAACAAGAAGCTGTACCGAATGGCCTACATAGCATGGTGGTATAATCGATATTTAGTTCACAGGACAGACAAGAAGCGGGCTCACACGCACATTTTAATTAAACTCAACCAACAGCCCCAACTTAGCTAAGGGTAAAAACAATAAGATACCACAGATTACAAAGCGTGAAAACCATATAACGCCGACAGAAACTTGTATGATAAGGCAATTAAGAATAACATTACTGACTGCATTCTGAACTGACTCGTGGGGCAGTGTTCGTGAAGCTGACAGTAGCACACTTGCCTTTTATTGTTACCCAAATTTTATTATTGTTCCGCAGAAGACCGCTACTGTTCCTTATTCTGAGCTAAATAAATGCCGTCCATGTCCTCACTTTCTAACGCCAAGACCCATTTCAGTGATAGCATCTCATCTACGCCTAGGTAACAGAAAAGTACTCTTCCCATCTCCACCATGTACCAATGTGTTTAATGCTTTGCCCTTCCTTGATTAGTTCACACTAAAATCATGTGGTTAAAATCCTTTGCAGTTCTCCGCCTGGTGTTCCCTCTCCCTACGTCCAAATATTCTCGTTCTCGACCTGTGTTCTTCCCTTAGAGCGAGAGATCGAGTTCTACACCCAAACAAAACAAGAAAAAATGCAATATTGTAAAATTTAATATTTACGACTTAGGATAAGAGCAGAGAAAACCACTCTGAAGTGAATAGTAACAAACATTCTCTTAATTTAATTATACAAACAGATACAGAGCATTGCCGCTGCCTCAACCTAGCCTTAGTAGGTTTACTAGTCAAAAAGACAATTTATTCCAGCACTTAATGTATTGTTCTATTTATTTATTGCACAAGTATTAATAAATCAAGCGCACTAATAAACTCCTAGAACTTATTCATATACCCAGAGAAATTAATTTGAAATACTGCTAGAGACAGTCCAAGCGAAGTTTATGAAAGTAAACTCATATTTATTGCAAATATTTTTCTTTAATAGAACCACTTCTATTAAAATATTCATTCAGCCGTGTAAAAACATTTCACACTTGCAAGAATTTTGAACGGGCATTGAAAATCTTTGGTCCCTATAGAATTTCTAGTTACTCCACAAAATTGCAGACAAGAAGTAGAAGTTATGAAGAAAACACATTTTGTTCTTACATCGTGAAACCGTTCTCGAATAAGCTGGAATTGACACTACAAGCAACACTGATTGAAACACCTAATGTTGACAAAGCCGAGGGTGGCGAAGCATGATTGTGCTCTTATCTTGGCGGAAACCAGCGCAACGGGAAACGCGTGTTTAAGCGTGACAGCCGAAAGCAGACTACGAAAACTGCTTCAATCGTTCTGTTCTACAGAAACCATAAACCATACATGAAAGAAAAACTAAGCCCAAAAGTGGAAGTAAAACTGGCTACTAAAAACAGACAACAGGATCGGCATATACTTTATATATCAACCCACTGCATGTTTTAAATTATTATACACCAAACAAAAAAATCAATGTTTTAATTAATAATGAACTGGAAAAAATACGGACGGAACGATCGTGGACTAATTTAAGGTATTAGTCCTACATTTAATTACAGGGACTGAGTAAAACCATAAAACCTAGGGAAGAACACTGGGTTTCCGCGCCGAGTTTAGAATCAAGGACCTCCCAAATAGGAAGCAGGAGCACTAACCACTCAACTAATGTCCGTGGTGAAATGTAAGTTTCCAAACATCTGTTCTTCGGGGGGAGGGGGGGGGCAGAGTTGTACTAATGATACATTTTTCAGCATGCATGTCCTCAATATGACGAAAGTGTGTCCAACCACTTTGTAGGAGCTGTTAGCATTGACATATATTTGATAAAACTCAAGGTGAAGTTACATCGAAGTTACACTGCAACGTTTTCACTTATTTATTGATTTTTGCTATCAGCAACCGAAAGTGTAATAATTATCAATAGTGCTTCAAATGTATTAATAAATTCGAAATATAAATTAATAATTTTTCTGGATATTCTCACCTGTGCTTCATCACATGTAACCATATTAAAAAAAATTAATTTAACACAAAGCCTAAGTTGTACTCTTTGCGAAATATTAGGCCTATCACACTTAAAACTCAAGGAATTTGAGATAAGTAGAGAATATAGCACGCATGGGACAGATGAGAAATGCATGTAATATTTTATCCGAAAACCTGAAGGAAAAAGATCAGCTGGAAAACACCTACGTAGTTGGAAGAATAATTAAGTAGCCTAAAATGGGTCTTACAGAACTGGGTTTGATATAATCTTGACATTAAACGGCACAACTCTATAATTTCGTTTTCCTTGTAACCATACTTAAAAATATTACAAATGCCTGATATATATTACTAAGATTTATGCGATGCACTTTTATGGTGTAAAAACCTCTCGGCTATCAGCCACTTTAAAGAACGAAAATGAGACTGGAGGCAAAAATTAAGATCTTAGACCGATAGGTTGTGAGATGGTGTTGCTGAACAATTCGATTCTCCTATCGAAGTTTTAGTACTGGCTAAACTGTTTATCGGAAACTAATTGTTGATAGAACAACATAGATTCAGAGGGCCTTGACTTTGTATTACAGACTGATCAAACAATTCAATGTATAAACTGCTATATATATGTTGAATTACACGTATACGTGCTGCTTCGTTCGATTTTTCAATCAAAATGTGATTTTAAGTACTGCTTTAGATATTCCAGTCATTCTTGATGGCTGATTTTCTAGTGCTGACATAATTCGTAATTTAGAAACCTGGACAGTCGCCTGTTCCTTCATTTAACTTTAATCGTCTTCGAAAACATTTTGGTGAAACGTTCAAATCCTTGTAAGAATGAAGAGCTGAAGTAATGATGATATCAATTATGTCACAGCTCTCTCTTTTGATCAAAATAACAGACGAACAAATGAAGCAAATGTCTGGTGTTCTACGATGATGGTGGATTGTTTTAAAATTGTTCTGAACAAGAAACAAAAATAAAAATTTTAAATATAACTTCTTCTGAATAAAATTTCAGTGTTCTTGTACATAGAACAATGATCGGTAAAGCCATTAAGTGAAGTCATTTGGCATAAAATGCAAACATTAACACAGAATGAACAGACTCTTTCAAAAACACTTTTTCAAAACAGCGACCAAGAAAAATGTCTTATTAACTTGATGACATAATGCTGTAGAGTTTTGTATGACACTAGGCTGGTGAACATTACCCATCTGATCATGAATCTACATAATCTGATTAAATACTAAGAAACATTCTTCAAGAACAGGCAGTCACTTCCTGCAATAACGTTAAACAGTGATATTACTCACCGATATTTCCATTCCCTAGACACCCGGCAATGAGACACAAATTGACCAGAACACTGAACCATCCTGAGGCAGGATTCCACACCCCGTTCATCGCTGGGCCACGGGATGAAATGATTTTCACGTGTCAGAAACAATCAACGCAGTAGCGTTGTGACCTACAGTTCATTGGAAGCCATCACTGCTTCAACACACTAGTCTGAACTTTGAACCCGATCACTAACGCATGGCAGAGTATTCAGTAGATAATGGTTAAATAATGTGACAATGTCAGACACGAATCCAATCTGCCGTTATGCCACAGACTAATCTCAGATATAAACCAAGCAACTAACGAACTAAGGGCAGAGTCCTGCGCAAGCGCAAGCCATCATCCCTTGCTAGGTACCACCGTTCCTGCGTACGAAACGCATTGCTGGAAATTGTAAACAGAGCTTTAAAACTAAAACGGGAATTTCCTTACGCTAACGGGGGTTTTGTCGTGACGGGAGCCTCGACTAACATAAACCAAAAATAAAAGTGAAATTTATACGCAAACTGGAATGGATTTTGTAGATTTCAGCCCACCAGCTGTTTGCTAAGCCAATTGTAGTTTCGGTGGAGGGGAATGTTCAGGGTGAGGGAGGGGTTGCTAATGTGTGTGTGTGTGTAGGATTCGAGATCGATTTTCAGTCGCCGTTGGCGCCATCACCATACAATTCGAAAGCCCCGAACCAAACTCGCAGACAATGAAACACGTTTACGTTAAATACTGCTATCTGTATTCACGCAGGCGTTCCTTATCAATCGTAACTAACACGCAAACGGTGCTCTATTTTCCCGTTCCGATCCAAACACAGAGAAATTTAGTTGTCAACTACACAGCTTAGTTGGTGAATCTCGAATTAAGATGGCGCTAGCCGTACAGGCCGTCTACTCGCTCCCAGGTTTGACGTCATAACGTCAATTCTATCAGGTATCTTTTCAAGGGGTCACACCCCAGATGACAGGTGTGGAGCATTTTGATCTGGGGTCGCGCTTATTCATGATTATATTAACACAAGAATGCTGACCTTATTTCGACCGAGTTTTGATCGCAATTTACAGCATTTAACGATATATGCTATGAACCACTGTCAATACCACCCAAGTGGGGCGTAGGACGCCGGTCGAAGCAGTCTATGCAGACTCGTTCTTAAGAGTTTCATAATCAAAACAGAAAATAAATCAAACCCAGACAACTGAAAGTTTAATATTACTTCTGGAGTTACAATGAAATTAATATGCTTTATGTTACATTTTTACTTCTTGGACGTTTAAGTTGTCATCGTGTGCGAAGTAACGTCGACGCAAGAGGCCCGGGGAGGCAGTCCCGCTTGCCCTTCCCTAAGGATAGCCCTATTAATACTTAACAGCAGAGACATTTGCTGATGTCGGAAATAGTCAACTCTGGAAATGAAACCTGTTTAGCCCAAATTACTAACTCAGCCGCCTGTACATTCGTTTCTGGCTGTTCATTTGCGGAAATAATCCCTTTAAAATAATGGAATTTAAACAGGGAAAGATTGCGCATGAATGAACTCCCATACACACAAAGAAATTTCCCAATAATCGGATGCTAGTATTTTATAAAAATCAGGAGCTGCTTGAATACGACGGTGACATGTTATTTACTTTGGTCGCTCTGTTACGTCAACACCCGAGATGCGGCGTGAACACATTCGGGATGTCAGTGTGCTCCAGTCTTGTTCAGTCACATTTCGCTTTATAAGACATGTCGACGTGCAGCGTAATTTAGAACGACGATGCTGTAATCTCCACCGAATTGCGTTCTAGCGACGAAGCATCGACCGATGCGACAAGACAGGCGCCTCTACAAACGCTGCCGAGGACCATGAACACATAAAGCACAGTCTCCTTAAAGGCAATGATTTGTCCTACTTCACATATTTTACAGCAAGGACTGTTTCGCATCCCAGAGGCCGGAATAGTTTATTAAGTGGTGCATTATTTAACGACGCTATATTAGCTACTTCTTTTAACGTGGATGAGATTAGAGGATGACTGCGTACAGCAAATGAAGCAAGAGAAATCAAGCAACTGTCGTCTGTCTGTGGATGATTTACTGGAAACTGACTTGAATGCTAGAGGAAGACAGATGCATTATGTTCCTCCGAAACGTTAATGATCACCTACAAGCCCACATGGCGTCACAAACCCTAAGATCAAAATCGAAACTTTGAAACTGTTCAACAAAATGACCTTTAAAATCTTGGTATTTCCCACATACTTAAAATGATATATTTAAAGTAAGGCCTACTGATCTGAATTGTTTTCGAGAACATCCCTAGCGTTATCTTGAGGCACTCAGAATAGTCTGTCATCCATTCGGTATTGATTAACCACACACCTGTTGAGTAGCCTACTGCTGGTTTGTCCCAGTGCCCGAGAAATCCAAACGACAGCATTCGTTACTGCTGTTTTGTTAATAATAAGTATCACCCTTCATCCGGGTGCAGTAAATAACGTGCCTGTAAAGGTACGTTTACACTGTGGACTCCTTGTAAAATAGGAGAAATACTGCACCGACAGAAACCAAAATCAAACCAGTGAGCTAATGCAATGCTACAGGTAAAATAATAGATACACGAAGAGGCCTATGCTGTTCCCCAGTGCGCAATTCTTTCAATAGCCGGTCTATCTTTACAATCGAGCGTACTCTGTACTACACTTTATTTTACTTTTACTCTAAATGTTTTCTTACGTCGTGTCCGCACGGTAAAACGTATAGGTACTTTATTAAAAATTCTGTCTTTAAGTACTGTACAGTGCAGACCAATACTGAACGATATTAATGATTTTCCTCCGTCATATCCAGGAAATGTAGGGATTATACCTTCAAACGGCCACAAACATCTCCACAACTCTAAATCCTGGCTTACTGGAGACCGCTGCACGTGGAAGAGACGAGAGGAATGGACAACACAGAAACGGGTCCTTGTTCGGTTAATTTGAGTTCAGGGACAAAACTAATTTTATCCAAGTTCACAGTATTCTCCAGTTCTCCCCTGCTTTCAGTCTGTCGTCCATTCCGCATTTATAAACAGCCTTGATAGTTTGTACAGGTGCGCGTTATATTAAGAAAATATTTGATAAGCTGCTACTGTGTCTACTCCCGTTACCACCAGACCAGCTTCGTTGCTACAAAACAGGTTGGCATAACGCACTTTACGATTCTGAAGAATAAGATACGTGTACATGGCAGAATATCAATATGGACCTTCAACAGCGTGTAGAATACATTCATAGGGTCCACTTTTCTGCGAACATGGTAATGAAATTTAGGATTCCATAAAGACGGATTATGTTCCAACAACTGAGCAACTTTCAGCTTATATGGGCCTTGCACAAAGGAGTTTAAGTTTAAAAATATGTCGTACTATTCCTCTGCCATGCTGCATCTACTGAGTTTCACGACAATCGGTCACCAAACGTCTATAATATTAATAATCATATTTGTAAGATGGATGGACAGACATACCCAGTCCACTAACAGGGAAAACAGACGTATAAGTAGTGCAGCTAGGTTAATCAAAGATAAAATAAACATAAACGTCAATCGCTGCTCTAGAAGTATCAGCGATGGTCCACGATGTCTTAATCACACTCCTATTATGTTACGTTCGTATACATGTCTCAATGTCTGCAGTTCAGTATACATGAACTTTTGTGATTAGAACGAACTGCTGTGTATACTAAATATAATTCAGTAAATAATGCCCAAAAATTGCAGCATGATGAATCAATCACTGTCACCAGCCTTCAGAGCAGTGTTTCCCAAACGTCAAAAATGTGTGCTCCTTTTAGGATCTTCGCCTTACTGGTATGCCCCCTCTCCCACTTATATCAGAATCAGTTGAACTGCATTATGATTACACTTTCAGGTATGAACTAAATAAGGTTATAATATAAGATAAAACGGACAGAAACTTTTGAGATTAATGAATTTGATGTTTTCTTTATATAAAGAGTTCATACAACAGATCGAACTTTAAAACAATTTTTAGTAACATATTTTTTACCATGTACCACACTTTGGGAAACAATGCTTTGTAAAACGAGGTATTAGTCAATCATCAAACCTTGCAGTGATCACATGAATGAGGATACGATGGGCAGGATACATAGCATGCACTGGAGATACAAAACTAGCATTTAAATGCTGGGCAGTAAATGTGTATAACTGGTCCAACAAAACTACAAAAAATACTAAATAAACCCACCTCCTCCAAAGGTCGCCTGCCACACAGGATGAGTCTTGGTGGTGATGTGCAGGATGAAGGTGGGAGAGGAGGGTTAAACCTGTAAACGGAAGGACGGTCTTTCAGATTAAGTAGCAGTAGGAAGGCTTAAATTATACTGGTGGCTGATTACACACACATACAGTTAAGGAAATACTGGGATATACTATGATAAATTTCTGCTGAATAAGCCACATACATACAAGAAGTATGACAAACACTTCCTTCACGTGACGCTACACGTTCTCTGAGGCGTTCACAGCAATTAGAAAAATCACATGGGACTCAAAACAGACTTACTGCATCTCCATAACAATGCATTTCTGAACATAGGTTGATAAGCAATTCCCCAAAACTGTAGTTAAGCAACAATTAAAGTCTGGATCCACTTAGGAACGGAATGGTGGTGATACAGTGACAAACCACTCACAAGTATTCAGAGCTCATATATTTACAAGGGAAAAAAGACCATACAAGTAAAACAGTTCACAAAATGAGTGCGCATTTTTACATTAACTGACTCTAGTAAGCTTCTCATTCAGTTTTAGAGATTCTCCACCTTCGAAATTCCCCCAGCCCTATAGAAATGCCATCACAATATCACACACAAAAATTATACACGTGGACTTCCATTTCCTCTGCACAAGCTCACCTTATAATTGCAACATAAATATACAATACATACATTAATTTAAAAGCTTTCATTCACCCACTTGCAGTTGGTGTTTTTATCAGACTATAAGGCATTTTGAAAACAAAAATAACAATTTTTTCTTCCCCCCTCCCTTCTTTCTTTTATGGACGGTCTATATAAAAGAATTCCCCTCTTTGTTGTTATCACCTCACAATATTATAATATATATATAAACATCTATGGGAAAAAAAAAAAAAAAAAAAAGGTTTTGTATCACAAAAAGATTGCTTTGTTCAGATTATCTCAACAATATCTGAACCTACCTCACTGAATCTTCCTCTTTGAAACAGTTCTGGAGAAACTTCATACTGTGCACAAAGTTGGACACATACAGCTCGGCTCCACACTGCTTAGTTCATGCATTTCTTCAACCTATCAGTTTTCCACATTCTTCACATAAACAAAAGAAAAAAAATAACAGAACAGAAAACACAGATACACACAGACTTACATCATCAATAAACACACACAGGAATCTGTAAAGATGAGAGCAAAATCTCAACTAAAGCTTTGAGTTAGCAACAGAAAAACAAAATAACAATCTATATACCAGTTTTTCCTTACAACTTCACAGCGCTATGTACTGATATGCAATATTTAGGCTATATTTCTCATTCATGTAATTGACTATTATATACCTACTTTTCTTGGGATGTTTCCAAAGATTAAAAATGTGTGTTAGTGTACAAATCATGATAAATCCAAATGCCTATTAATTAAAATACAATGTCTTTATAAAATAACATTTCAATAACATAACATGGATGATGTGTTGCAATTGTCACACGTCAAGGAACTCATAATATATAGTACCGAATGATAAGTCGGTTTACGAAAAATGAACCTGAAAGAATAGGAAGAACATGGCCATAACCTAATTTATGGTGCTAAACCAGCAGTTGCCTGAAGAAACTGAGGAAAACCATGAAAACTGTCAATCAGAATAGCCAGTCACCAGGCTGAGATTTGAACCTGGGACCCCTCCTGAATATGAAGCAGCAGGGATAACCATTCAGCTGCAATGTTCTGTGTCAGGATCTTGTTAATGACACAAAAATGCCTACTGTTGACAAAGTAAAATTAAGAAAAATCTGAACAATAAACGACCTTCTTGGATGTACTTCACATGCAATAAAGGAAAGAAAAAATACATTCATAATATATAAAAAGTGTCTATAAACCTTCCAAACTCAATATGCATGGTATCTTATCAGCACGCAATTAAGAGATGTTATCAAATATAACAGCCATTTTAAACCATTAAAGACAAGTTTACTAATTTTCATAATTGTGGACCATTCTCATTTGAGAATAAAAATCCAAAACTGGTGTATAATTAAAATTTTTGTTGCAGAGCTGTAGTCAGAATAGCTAGTACTTTGAGACATGTGTTGGTTGTATGCTCAACTCTGTTCCAAATACTTTCAAAACGTCACAATATTTTCACTCCTTGTCCAATTAACTGAATCCTGGAGTCGCTTTGTTATGGCAGTAAATCACTTTTGGACTGCATTTTCATTTCTGTACAGAATCAGAAACTGGTGGCATGACATACTTGTTATCATGGGTAATTTATACTTAATATTTAAAAGACTGAGGAAAGAAAAAAGAGCCTTGCATGGATTCAGCATAATCTGACTCACCTTCAAATGAAACAATAATCTGTGAGATTCCTCAGGCAATGTAATGCATAAGCTGATCTCTTGATGTTTTATACATGGGACTCTAAGGGTACTTTGAATACTCTTGAGGCTAGATTTGGATCTGGGAGGCTGTGTGGACGACCTGTAACTGGTGAGAGGTGCTGCCTGAGTTCTGCCATGATGCCCCCACTGCCAAGCAGGCTAATCTCAAACAAAAATCCATCCTGTGCCAATATTCCGCTGAGGCGTGATGAACTGAGGTCGGGCGAACTTGTTCGGAGACACCGGCGTTCCTTATTGCTTACAGTTGTCATGGAAACAGCACTGGCTGCCTCATTCTCTGCAAGCTGTTCATGTTGCAGCCGATTGTCCAACCAATGGAGCTTGTCAAAGTCCTTGGTCCCTCCTACAGTGTGACGACGTTTAATGGAACGTTCAGGCATTCCATTCTTTCGTTTCAGTTTTGTCAGAATTGTTGCTATATTTTCTTTTTCTTTGTTTCCCCTACTGGAACTTTTAAAACCAGAGCTAGAAATTTGTATCTCTTGCTGCCTACGTTTGCTAATGTTAGATTCTGTTTTTTCAGTTTTTGTTAATGAGTCAGAACGTTTTAACTTTGTGTTTGATGGTGATTCTAATCTTTCAGCTTTAGTGAGTGATTCAGAACGTCTGAGTTTTGTATTTGAAGATGTCTCAGTTCTCTCTGCTTTTGACAGTGACTCAGAACGTCTGAGTTTAGTGTTTGCCAAAGTTGTTTCACTACTCTTTTCAGCCTTTGTCAAAGACTCCGAACGTTTAAGTCTACTGTTTACAGCTGTTGTCTCCTGCTTATCTGCCTTAGTCAATGATTCTGAGCGTTTCAGTTTTATACTGGCAGCACTTCCTTCTTCTTTCTCTGATTTTGTTAGAGATTCAGATCGTCTGAGCCTACTACTATGTGATGATTCTGTCTTTTCTGATTTTGTCACGGAGTCTATACTTTTGGGTCTTGCAACTGCGCTTCTGTCATTTGCTACCTTTTTTAAATTATCAGAGACAGTTCCATCATTTTCATTTTTCTTTTCACAGTTCTTGCCTCCATGTAATGATTTCTGCTCCAGATGAGGGAAACTCTTCCTACTGGAAACAGAACTGCTCTCACGAGATCTTCCCCTAACTAGATAATCTTGTTTCTTTGTTTCCACTTGCTTATCTTCATCCTTTCCAACAGCATCCTGAAAAAATAACATGTGTAAAAAGTCTACATATCTAGGTATTAATGGAAAACTTTTACATAGCCATGTTCACTTAATTTATCCCATAAGGTATTAAGTTTGTCCAATGCAGATTTACTTAAACACCATTCTTGAGAAACCTAGTGCCTGCATTGGGAAAGGGTTTACTACAGTAATACTATCTAACTTACATGTTTCTGCCCTTTACAAGCAGCAGAGGCACTCTTCCTGCGATGAAGGCTAGGGTCTCGGAAGATAGTTGTGGCAGTGGTTGTAAATGCTCCTGCTGGCTGTATTGATATCCTTTCAGTGTTGGTAGATGTAACTGTTGAAGCTTCCAGTAGACTACTTATTGATATCTCTGAGCTTCCTACTGCACTCACAGATGACTTGTCATCACTACTGCTTGCTGCATTTTCTTTCTCTTGTGGCAGCTTACTGGGTTCCTGAGTCCTGTTACTAGCTTTAATTTCTGTAGCAGTGGTTGCATCAGTGACAGCTTCAACTGCTGTTGTTAGTGTTGTTGTTGTTGCTGCTGCTGCTGTTGTCGCACTGAGTAGAGATTTAAGCTTCCGGTCAAAGGTTGATGTCAGACTCACTAGTAAGTCACTGCCTATGAGTTACAACAGAGAATCAAATGAATTAGATCATAAAATATGGAAAAACTACCAAAAATTATATCTCAAATTAGTGTTACACATGCTATATTATAGTCATATAGTCAAACATTGAAATTTGTGACATAAAATTTGGCAAGAAAATTGCAGCTAGTATAACACTTCTCACCCCTTCCTTTCTATGTTAACTTCTGACGGAAGCGTGATTGTAGATCAGAATTACCATGTCCTCATATTTAACTATTTTCTGACTGATATATTTCTATCTTGTACTTTACCATTCTGTATAAACCCAAATGTTTTTACTTCATAATAATGTCTGCAGCACTTTATAATGTAAATTGATTACAAGATATAATTTTACAAGTGAATAATTTCAGAGTGTATTGTTTATTACATGCATTCTACTCTTCCCTCCTTCCACATAAATAAAAATTACTTATATAAAGTATGCATAATATGTGTATTCAGTAACATTTGTTGGTACTGAAATTTAGGGGGTGCATAAGATTAGATTTGGTCATATGAAAATTCTTTGTTCAAAAATAAGGGTTGCATAAATGCATTCACTGCATACCACATGTCAGGAGAGTACAAAATTTCTTTATAATGTGCAAGTATTTTGTTATAAATTGAGTTTGGTGAGATATTAAAGACATTCTCCTGATGGAGAAAGAGAGAATATGTGTGTGTATATTTATGATTTTTCTTTAGTTTATTATTTTATATTTTTTTGATATGACCAAACAGTAGAAAGGCTCATTTAAATTTACTTGATGACAATAATTAAATAATTCAGTAATACATATCATAAATCTAGGTGTCTGATTGCTAGTTCATTCTGTATACTCATTAGTTCAGTGCCAAATTTCATATGCATCCCTCTAAATTGTTTTGTGCAACACATAACACATCTACTGTGTTAATGATTTCAAAACTACATGTTACTGAACATCTGGAGATCAGAATTAAATCAACATCTTCGTTGTTAAATAATATATATTAGTAAGTGACTAAAGTATAATTATTACTAACTTTCAGCGAAAACAAAAGAAGGCTACCATTCTACCAACAACATTCACATTCCAAGAACTCTGCTGATTAAGTAAGATTGTCACACAGTATTTTTTTCTTACTACCATCTCTAAATTACATGTGAATCTGCTGTGTAGGCAACACATTCAGTTTTTAGTTTTATGAGGAGGTGGATGTCCTTATGTGAAGTCTGGAAACCACTATACTATACTATACCTTACAATACTATACTAGTAATCATGTATATACATGCTTAAACCTCCATGGTCAGTTAATAAAAAATCTGTGTTGCAGACGACATATATGCTTGTCAAAATGGAAATTATGACAAAATTATAAAACAATGATGGCATTTAAGTAATTCTATGTATATGTGGACATTTCTGAATAAAATTAACAATGGTAAAGAAGTTCATTAGACTAAATAGCCCAGACACTGCCAGTTGGTTATCACAACACAACATCAATATTATACTGTAACAGCAAGAACTTAATCATCAGCAACTTAAAAATTCTATCAGGCATATCAACACAAAAGAAATAAATGCAAACATTTCTAAATATATATGCAATTAATAGAATACACACATATCTGATAATAATGAAAGAAGTTAAAAAAACTAGTAAATAAAGAATGATGCCAATGGTAAGTGTTCCGTGACTGTTTAAAGTTACATTTAATAAAATTAAACATAATATGTAACTGCAAGCACAAAATATTGTTATCTGTATTTCACACTGTCTTCAATGTCTGCAAATATGAGCTGTACATTTTTAAATAAAACTTAGTAATTAGTAAAATATAACAAAGGACTAAGAAAAGTTAAAAAACTGTTAACATTATGTGGAAACCACGTTTCCTAAACAATAATGGTTTAATTTAAGGTAAGAGTATTCAATTAGGACAAGATCATGTACCAACTGAGACAGTATGTTTAATGGTAGTGATTTTTCATTTGTTTCTTACTTTTAAGAAATTGAATACCTGAAGGCAAATCCTTATTAATCCAGTGTGGTTCATGTGCAACAGGAACTAAAATCTCCCACAATAGTTAGGGATAGAAAGAACTATCACACATAAAATATTAGAAAGCAATAAAAATAATGCATCACGTTTAAAAACATTACACTCCAAAATACAAAATACTCATGTAATCCAGTTCCTGCAACAAAATTCCATTTTATAAAGAATAAAATGGTTCAAAGATGGTACATCAAAGTACCACCATCCTATGACATTACATTATTCACCAGTTAATCTCCAAATACACTACTCGATTTGTCCTTGCAAAATAAAAGATATCTGATGATATGTTACTGACTTCTACTAACAGTGTTATAGAAAATTATATTAAAAATAATAAAGACACACAAGAACAAGGAATTGAAATGAGTATATACAAAATAGTAGACAGAACACAAATGACTGGCAAACATGAAACAACAAACTGAGTGAGGTTACAGACTTTCCACTCTGTTACAAAAATTATCCTATATACAGTCAAAAGAGAAAGAACAGATCACACAGTAATGAACTATATATGCTGGAGATTGTATATAAAACATGATTTCTGAAGGCTACTTGCAACATTCACTTGGATTTTCCTTGTCAGTTAAATCACTAACAAACAGTAGGAACTTCAAAAACTAAAACTTGAATTAAACTAAAAAATGTCAGCATATTAAAGAAACTGATGAAAGAAACATGCATTGCCCTAAGATAATTTTCTTCTTACTCAAATAAAAATCTCTAAACACCATGTTCTCTTACTGTTTCATATACGTCTATGATTACTAGCTATATGGTACAGCTAAGAGCTTGAGCCTTTAGTTTCTGCCTTAAATATGAATAAGCAGAACCCTTGTTGTGTTAAAGCATTGCTAGCAAATGTTGTATTTCAGGTTTAAACAAATCAAATGAATGCAAGTTTATAAATATGAACTATTCATCACTATTAATTCACACAGTCGCCACTCAACATTAAAATATCTCCATATACTGATATATTACGAGTAACAGGCAGAAGCAATTACAGTACAAAGTAATGTCTTCAAATATTAATCCAACATGAAGAGGAAAACATTTAACAACGCTGAATGTCTATTTCATCGTCTCTTCATACTACATACCAGTAAGACATGGTTCTTATAAATAACAGCCTCGATGTAAGAGAAGTATACACTAAAAGTACAGTTTTTAGTTCCTCCATCATGGTAATTACACACTTTAATACAGAACCCTTCCCTTCCTACATATTAGGGATAAATGTACAAAGTGTGTGAAATTTAATTAATGTGAGACAACCTATCAAGATGATCCTTATAAAACATACTCCATAAAAATGGTGGTTTGGTCAGTAGTAATGTACATAATCTGTTGGCCTATTTGGGAGATACCTGATTTGAATCTCAGTTGCAGCACCAGCTATTCTGACTGAGATATATCATAGTCTTCCTCAGTCTTGCCTCATATTAGCGAGTTATGTGCAACCTCGTACCTTTGCATACTGTGATACTGTACAAATGAGATGGTGAATTTTGAAACTTTATAAACAAAAAGCAATCTTCCAGCTATACATAACCTACTAAACAGACATTAGCCTGAAACTTGAATGCCCAAATTGTTTGAAACACAAGTATATTTACTTTCTGTAACAGGAAGACTCATTAACAACATACTACATCCTCAAATTTTATGCTTCAAACATCAAAACTGAATTTAACTAACTAAATTACCCCATGGGGCAGGGTCTTTCTCCAGAAACTAAGCTGATCCAATTACAAAGCTTCATCACTGTGTTCACAAGAACTTGCCATTGGTCCCATTCCAAAGAAAAATTAATTCAGTTCATATCTTTGCATCCAACTCCATTAAGATCTATGTTAATATTATCTTCCCACCTATGCCTAGTTCTTGAAAGTGTCTATTCCCTTCATATTTTCCTACTAAATTTTTTTATACATTGTGACACTTTTATCAAATCTGCTTTTTTGAGTTCCATAGATACTGCACTTCCCAACAGCTTAGGACTTAAAAACACATAACAATATGACATGAATGTGATGATAAAAAGTAGCCAATTAGTGGACTTGCATTTTTTTACAGAAAATTTAATGCCTCCTGTTCATACCAATAATAATATAATTAAAACTAAACGTGCATATTAGTCAACTATTAACAGAATCTGGCATACAAGTAACATCACATTATTAACACAAGAATGCCTGGAGGAAAAAAATGTAAGCCCCTGTTAATGTGAGTGGCAATGGTCCAATTATCAAGCCAGAAATCAACTTCAGTATTAAAACACTACATATGAAAATAAAATGAACAACATGACACAATTAATAACATAAAACTGTCAGGCAGGTGAGTTAGGTGCGTGATGTGTGAGAGCGCAAGGCAGAGAATATAAATATAGAGTGAAGGGAAATGCAGCCAGCAGCAGCAGTTGAGGGGGCAAGGAGACCCCTCCTTACCTCTCCGCAACCTGCCTAATGCTTCTGATGGTGCAAACTTGAGGCCTGCATGGTGGTAGTGGTGATGGTGGTGGGCAGTGCTGCTGCTGCTGTTGATGGGGCAACCAGGGCTGCCGGTGGCGGTAGTGGTGCTTGAGGGTTTGCTGATGAAGGTTGTTTGTGGATGTAAATGTGACAGGAAGCACCATAGGCTCGGGCTAGCTGCCTGTCTATTTCCGTCATTGGCAAATGGGAAGAACAAATGCAAAGTGGAGAGGGGCAGAAGAAGGGAGAATTAAAAAAATTAAGAAAAAGAAATACAAAGTTACCATTCTTTCATCAACCAACCACATACAGGTCTCACCCTACAGGATTCTCAAAACTACTTTTCTACTTCTAAAAACAGAATTACCTCATATCTGAAATCTTACTTAATCTAATAATAGTTTACATATATCTGAACATAAGTATACATTGTAATGTGTGGAGCTGCATGACCTAATACCAAGGCATCAAATTCCACCAACGGTTAACATTGTTATACTGACAAACTAACAAAATAATAAATTTATTCGCTGAACCTGTTTTACCATTTACAGGAAGGTAAAGTGTACTCAGAACTCCAAAATGACTGCAAAGCTATAATTAATTAAATAAATTAGTTTGCTGATCAACTTCAGAATTAATATTTCACCTCACATTATCCAATCACCAATTCAGTACTTTTCAATGCCTAATTGTGTTTTTGTGTGTACTCACAGATTTTAATAACTATTGTTATGGAGATGCATAACCAATACTTATGATCAATAATGTACATTCTTGACTGATAAAAATCTAGTTATCATCTCTGAACCGAAAGAAAAATCAATAACCACTGATCCTAGAAGTTAATATAACTGAGAAATAAGTCTATAGAAATTTCTTATATTTATATATACAGCTTGATTAACTGGCTAATTAACATACATTTAGCATAAAACTTCATTCAACTCACAGAAAATCTGTAAACAACAGAAAATTAGTCCCACAAATTAATGCGGTTGTAATCATTTTGATGTTCTGCACATGAACAAAATTTTGTTAACATAGTTAATTCTTACATTTTCAGGATACTTCTGAAAACAGTACTAACTTATTGATCAATTTTAAGCTGGGAAGAATACTTATGTCAGCTATGAACATCAAAGGTTTAGAAAAGAGACACACATTCAGTAAAAGAAGAATTAAACACAAGTGTAAATTCAGCACGGAGTACCATTTCATACATTGCAGAGTTCATTGCATGCACACTGAATATGAACTAATTATGTGGAGAGCCTTCACTGATATCAGATCTGAGATTTATGTTGCCGAATGAGAGTCATGGCTTTATTTTACAGATTTAGCAGCAGAATTAGGCACATAACACACTTATCAACAAAAGCTGTTCTATGTTTATCATTAATAGGGCAAGGACTGGATTGCATTTGCTATAAAAACTAACTAATTTTGACAGTAATTGTCATATGAAAAGTTTCACTAGGACATGACTGTTTCTTTATATATCCTTTACAATTCATTAATCACCGTATCATTCGATACTATATAGTATGAACTAGTGACAATTATTAAATAAACCATAAAGAAAATAAATTAACAGATAATGCTTCTTAATGGTAACAGTCAAAATTCTCAAGAAGGAAAACAAACAGACTTCAGCTATAAAGAAGCTATGCACATGTTCTCCATACTGAATTTAACCAGAGCATGCAAATACTGCTATAAATGATACACAGGCAAAATACAGACCTACAAAGTAAATGCTGCACTAAAAAAGTATCAGTCATAATCCAGACAAACTCCTGATTATCTGATTATGAAATGAACAAAAACATATGGTTCTCAAATATGATACATAGTACCTGTCATGGTTCAATCAAAAGACACTACAGTGACAAAAAACAAGTGACCACCGCCAAATATCAGGCCATTTTGAAGGGAGGGGTCATCACTACTCTTTACTCCAGTCCTCCACACAGGATGAAGACATCTTATCTTCAGGACAGAAATGGGGAGGAGGACTAACACATCTGCCAAACAATTTCTTTTTAAAAACAAGAGTAAGTTACATGTGTGGCAAATATCATATCTACTCTATCAGCTGTAGATACTTTAATCGCTGTAGAACCTCAAGTATCTGACACGATTTGATCATGGTTACTATTAAACATAAAACAAAACTGGAAAGGGGGAGATAGAACCTCAAATCTCAGATAGCCAAATAACTGATCACATATTCTATAATTTTTAATACGCTTACATAGTGATGAATATAAGAAAAATTCACATAAGAAAGCCAGGGCATGTCCCCAAGGAAGATTATGGCTTAAAAATTCCATAATATTTCAATCAGCTAATTGAGGTTCCACTGAATAAAAACATATTGATAGTACTGTTACAGAAGAGTGGTATATTTTGTACTTCTAAGAAGCAGCTTTAACATGTTTTCCTGGTGTTAAGAGGTATTTTAATGTATGCTTTGCAGTGATATTCATGCAAGTTGCAGCTAAAGTGAATCAATGCTGAGCAACTGCCAACAAGAATGGTGCTCCTTACATCAAATAATTAAACAACCTAATTGGCACTCAGCTACCACAAATATTAAACCCACACTGTAAAGAAGTTGGAAGGGAACAAAATGTGCAATGTGAAAAATGTTACCATGAGGCAGCAGTACTTATCTGCATCTTGCAAATACTTTTACAAATTAACCACAATCAGTGCAGGATGTATGCGATTATGTTAGGACAGACCACACATGCCATAAATCGGCCTTCTACAGTCTGTAAACAGTCTGAATCTCAATGAACTGGAAGTTACAATTTGAGGTGCATGCCAATCAACTGGCATTGCATGTTATGCAATGTGTGGAATAAGACCTATTATCATTTTGACTTGGATAAAGTGTCCAATGGTTCTCAAATTCAAAACCTGCAAGTGGAAATAAAAATTACCAATACTGTTCTTTATGTCCTAAATGATCATTAATGTGGATGGCTTAAATTACTCAAAAAATAAAGATCATTTGTAATCATGCCACATAATTTCTATCTTGCTACAAACATTATTCTGCATGTTAAAACTGTGGCAATGTAACAGATTTAGTATGAATATAATTCAAAATACAATTATAACAGTGTGAGCACTGTCAGTGCACCATAAAATTCTTGTATCTTGCTGTCATGTTGATGTTCAAGAGAAATAAATAGGAAAGGATATTTTAGATTGGGAATTCGTGTGTCTGTACCCTTAGAACAAGTTTCCACGCCACTATCAGCTACAATCATTAGAAAGTAGCTCACACACACCCTTGCATCCATTTATTTCAGTGGTATAATACTGCAACTCCACACAGTTCACAGCACCACTGAGTGTGAGAATATATTTTTAGTAATACCAATTTCTGCATGTTATTTGAAAATTTTAAAACAAACCTGCACCATTCAAGTCTTCTGCAGCCCACAGTTATGAGCTCTGCACCACTTTCATAACAAAGCACATGAGACAAACATGCGTAATCTTAAATATTATGTTTCAACATTTAATTACGAAACACAGCAGCAGGATCAAAGGGAAAAAGTTACTATGACAATTACAGCATGCTTGTTATGTGTTGGTTCCTAGATATGGCTGGATATCCTTCTGGCAGTGCAATGGTAACTTTCTACATACGTGAAACAAAGAATTGGTTCCACTATGTACCTAAACACAGTTTCACTATGAAACATGTATAGCTACATACATTACCGAGCAGTAAAATTCAAGAGAGACCCAAACTTTGCATCTTGTTATATAAGTCATGAACAGGATGCAAACAAACCCACTTGTATTCTTGTCCATAACAAGTGAAAAATGAAGAATGATGAGCAAAAAGGCAATTATTTTATTGATATCCTCTTCTGGCCC